TCAAAAAACCCATTCACATGTAACGTAATAATCACTAACTCAACTATTTTAGCACATAAAAACTATGATTTCACAGAGTAAGTATGAAATGTGTTTTTCTCCGTGATGATAATTAAAATAAATTTAAAAAGTTTATCCTTCCAGTTTCAGATTCAACTTATCATTGTATAAATCAATATTCAATATTAACATTTCATATTTCCTAAATACCAATTACTTTTAGCTGAAGAGTGAAAAACATCCTGGCGAAAGCGAGTGATTAAATAAGTTCAGCTTTCCGAACTTTTTTAGTTGAAATAGTGTAAGAGGTTTACCGTGTTATTATTAGTTTGAATTTCAGAAGCAAAGTAAACAGTAATAGATGTTGAGATGATTGTTCGAAAAATTAAGCAGTGAAATTGTATTATATTATCAATGAAAGTGTTTCCCCTAAAAGTTTAGAGATAAAGCCTATGAAAAAATAATCCCCATGAATTCAAAATAAAAATTATATGTGGAAAGAGTTTATTCATATAGTTTAAATTTGATAGTAAAATGGAATTTAATTAATAGAAAGATGAACTAAACTTCCGATAAACTAAAAATATAAGTTATTTTGTTCTCAGTTAAGAAAACATGTAGGATAAGGAATAGCTTACTCTTCTAGGGTAATCCACTTGACGTTACATGTTTAGAGAAGTTCTTCATATTGAATTTGCTTTGTAACAGTTAAAATCTTTAATGATGAGTCATTGCATAAATCAATGAAGGGGTTTTCACATTTTACAACATAAAACGGTGAAAGGGATCAAAATATGTATTTTTATACAACAGACAGAAATCCATATGGGGTTTTATAATTTGAAAACAATACAATTTCAGTAACATCGTTGTGTTAAGTAGATATTATTGGTTAAGATTTAAAAAAGAAGCACATATGTTTATTTAGAAAACAGAACTCAGTAACTATATTTTAACCTTGAGATACACGACTGTTTATGAGAAATACTTCGAATCAACTATTCAAATTAGAAATAGGATGCTTTATTACGTGACCTGATAGTTAAAAGTCCAAAGTCTTGTATACTGAACTTCGGCTCTATTGAAAAATGTATGAAAAGCATAGTTTAATTGAATTAAGCATCAAAAACCTTTAACATGCAATCGTAGATAATTGACATTCTTAATGCTTTTAAGCATAAAATTTCAACCGATCCCATTTATTTGTGTATTAATAAAATTAAGTGTTACAAGTTAACGTAATACATTGTCAACTATATATTATTACATAAAATATAAAAACAATGTCTCGGTATTTTGTTTACTTTCACAACAAGTATACATACATTACTATAAACGGAACAACTGACAATGGAATCGATTTTGGTCAATAGGTTGGACAAAAAATGTGTTTAACTTTTTAATATTTTCAGATTATAGAATTGAGTATTCTTATGTGATTTAACTTGGGTAAAGTTTCTAAAAAATATATAATTAATTACCAACTAATTTATGATGAATTATCAATCCCAGAACTTCAACTGCAGTTAGGAATTTATTTACAACATTCCAATCTCCAAGTAAATGCACTATCTTCATTTAAGCTGATGAATTTCCACCATATATTTTCATTATCATTATAAAGAAATAAGTTGTTCCAATCCTTTTATTATTATGACAAACTAGGTTCAAGATTGAAAATAATAATCATTTTAACAGAATAACATCGTTTATAAACCATAAGTATTGATGGATTAAACGTACAAGGTATAAGATGCAAGTAATGATAATAAAATGAACTACTGATTGGGCATAATTGTTCTTTTACTAAGTATATGATTATGTAATTATAGACAGAGGAATTCGTTAAATTCAACAATGCTAAGATAAACACTAAATCATGAAACACGTTAGAATAGAAGAATGAATAAAACAAGTGATGGATGATATAATAATCATGGAACGGGAGAGACTATACTTCAAAAAGTGATTTGTAAAAATTTCTGTCATCAGCTACTATTGACAATTATAAAACTCATATTTTATAATTTACACTATGTACACAACTAAGCCACTAAGATATAACTTTGTATACTTTACAACATTTTGTTTGTGTGAGGGCGGCCTGCTTGAGCATCTGGGCTACCTGTTCCTGCCATCCAGATATTTCAACAAGTTATCTATTTTTGTTTGTCTTAATATATCAATATGTTTATTAATCGCATGATGTATTCTGCTGCGTTTCTGAAAAGTGTACAACCTTTCGTTGTCAAAGTTACAAAAAACTCAATAAGCGACAATGTGGTTGCTGGCAATATACAGCGAAAGGAATGCACATTATTCAGATGTTCATTTACTGAACTGCTAACATCTAACTGGTGATCACTCAATATTTATCGCCAGGACCGACCAAGAAGAAAGGAACGGAAACTTGTTGAAATACTTTACGCTGAGAATTCTATATTGTACCAAAAATATAATATTGAATAAAGCTAATAATAATAATAATAATTAATAATAATAATAATAATGATAAGTTCATAAAGTCTCTACTATTATTGATGACATACATGGAAGTCGAGTGACTTCTTTATCCATATTATTATGATTTATAAGTTGAGGTTTGCTAATTCAGAGTCTCGATCAAGTATTATGAAGATAAATAAGATAACTAACGTCTATATATAACAGTCTATGAGGAAGATTTGTAGATCAGGTAGATGCTCTTGGTGTTGTTGGGCTCTTTGAACTAGATAATTTGATTTCCAATCAGGACAATATCGTTGTCGATTTCACGTACAAGTAAGCCTCTGGTTATTTCACTTCTACTAGTCAAGTGCTGATTATATTGTTCAGACTGACAAAAAATGCTCCGCAACTAAAAAAAATCTAGTTTAAAGAAATCAACACCAAAAATTTACACAACTCTACTTGGTATCATGTCTATATAGTAAGAGGTATCTATTTTAGGGTACACTTGAAAAAGTAATTTGATCATCACGAATCGAAATCAGTTGGAATGTCGTGAATGAGAACTCAAGTGGGAAAACTAATTTATTGTTTAATGAAAATCATACAGTGACACAGTAAAATATGAAAATCAAACATTAAATATACCATTTGCATATCCTCTTTGAAATGTCTGTTGCAAACTGCGTCGTTCCTCCATTCCTATTGGCTGATTTCAGTTTTCTTCTCTCTTCTCTTCATTTTTCTCTTCTGTTAGTAAAAATTCCACTTCTTATGACTGATACATACTACTTATATCTGTCCGTATACGTAGCACACACCGCGGGAGAACCAATAAAAACCAAGGATCTATCGTTTATCCTAATTTGGATCGGATTAATGGTGTACATTCGTAACTTAAGACAGAACCCAAAACCTTTATGTCTCATGTGATAAGCCATATATTCTAGAAATTGATGTTCTTAGTTAAATTTCTGATTTTCTGAACAGTGCGAAATACGACAACTATTCATCACTTACAGAGAGGCCTATAATCATGGTTAGATAAAAATACGGTAGACAACTGTCTAAAAGGTATTTACTAAAATTCTGTGAACTAATCGATTGAAATCTTATCTCTACTAGGCCCTTTCACAACAATAAGTGGAATAAAGTCAATAACAGAAACAATACTAGCAGGAAAAACAGCAACATGAAAGACAGTAGAAGGTTGCTCTTTTCCACTAGAAGTTTGTTAGCGATGGTTTCCATTGTGTACTTTAGTTAGTGGTCATACTTCGTAGTTTATCTGGTAGATATTACGTAGACCACTAACTCAGATCCACTTCGTACCCGGACTTTGCTTCAAGTGTATTTATTGTCATGTAAATAATGAATTTATCGTTTACGCGGAAATAATTTAGGCAGTGACATGATAATACTAATAAGGGGAAACGTTCAGTAGGCTGCTGAACAGGTAACACAAAATCTTTTTTTTATTCACTAGTAAAATGAACAGAAAATTATATAGACTACACTTTAATAATCCATAAAAGAGATAGAAAATCAAATAACCAGATTACCGCTAATTGTAAATAGCTTAAATTTGAAAATTCTGTTTATGGCATAACCAGTTAATGGACAAGATTAAGTAAATAATATGTTTTGTGGAAAATATTTAGTTATATTATATGGTTATAGAAACCACTTCATATGATCAGCATACAATTGGATTATATCGTATAACTGACACTCATCGACATTACTTTGTCTAGTTGGTGTTATTCACACGTGTTTATCGCTAATAAACAATACAAGAAAAAGTATGTCAAGCCTCAAGATGCTTCCTGTTAAACATATATATTATTTGAAATAATGAAGTATATCAAACTATAATCTATAACTATTATGTATTGTATTGAGATTATTAAGGAGCAATACTTAAGCAATAACTATTTAATGAATCAATGTTTACAGAATTTCTGTAAAAATAAATACCATTCATCTCAGCACTGATTAACAGTTTATCATGTTCTTAAATGTTTAAGCGTGAACACATAACAGTACATCTCATTTACCGAGGAAAGGTCAGTGAAATTAGTTTTAAGCAAGTTTTCTTAAAAGTAAATGATACAAAGCAACCACACAAACTGAGGTAGATGAAACGGGTTCGGAAACAGATATTTAATTCTTAAAATCTGAACTAATAAGTAAATACTCTATAACAAAACTTCAAGTGATTTAAAAGTTTGAGGAAGTAACTAGAACACATAAAACCATTTTAAAAGGAACCTATGATAATGATACTTCATCAATAGAATATTAATGCCACGTGATGTAAACAATAGGCATTACTGCAATTTTATTAGGATTAGTTTTTAATCCAATTAGAAAGCAAATGATGAATAATTACTTTACGACAACTAAGAAAATAGATAACGTATAGATACCATAACTATAAAGATCCCCTGTTCTATCATGCTTCAACCTAACTTTTAGCAGTAAAGATCTGATACAGGACATGATAGAGAGAAGAAATAAGACAAATAATTTCATATTACAAATGTACTTACTTCTACACCAATATGATTTAGACGATTGAGGTAATAGCGTGTATTCTCACTCTGTAAGATAAAAAATAGAACCAAATATAAAATAGATGCTAGAACAAATAGGTGGAAATGTATTTGATACAGCATTACTGAAATAATAGTCGAATTGTAAGGACAAAGATGGATACATAGTAACTAACACAATATGTACACCTGGGATGTATCCGCATAGTCGTCTGAATTACGTGTATATGTACGAAATATGAGGAAATACTTAGTCAACCCTAGATATCAGGTTGGATACATTCACACAGTAGTTATGATTGGGTTTTATCTTGGAAATTAATCAACTAGCGTATTTATATATACGTTGAGATAAATAATTTTATAATAGTAATCGTATGAATTTTAAAACTAATCGAAATTACAGTTGAATTCACCAATCGATCGAAGTCAAACCACCACTGAAAACCTGGAAGCACTGGACGGCCGTTTCATCCTAGTATGGGACTCCTCAACAGTACGCATCCACGATCCCACCTCGTGAGATTCGAACACAGGACTTATCAGTCTCGCGAGCGGACGCTTAACCTCTAGACCACTAAGCCGGCATACAACGGTGCTAATGTCTAACTTTAACCAATCCACGAAATTACGCCACCGTCCACTATTACATTATTTAATTATTTACAAAAGGAAAGTAAGTTCGATCGAACTAGAAAAATGAAAAGTTATATGCTTGTTAGTTTGAGGTGGTTACAAAAAATTCAGGCCGCTACCAAAAGCCTACATTTATATGACAGTTATATGAGCTAGCCTGGCAAATATATTTCGTGTGACTCACCGAAGTATTGTACTACAGCTCTATGCTAGTATCTGAATATTTTTCATCTGTGTGATCATAGATGAATATTAGAATCAGCCTAATACGACCATTATCTACTTGAAAAAAGTATGCCCAACAGTAAGTTGGAGTTTTTAATGTTTACATAACATGATAAACTAGATAAAAGACCAAACTTAGAATGTATGACATAGCAACCCACGAACAGAATGTTTTTTGCTTAAAGTTAATTATATTAAATCAAAATTAGGTCACCTGATTAAACTAATTCAATGTAACTGGCATTGTGTACTATTTTAAGAAGGTTCATACTATAACGGGTTAAATAATAGGCAAAGCTGAACTCTCGAACTATCGTACCAGGAGTTACTATTAATATTTCTGTTGTATCATTATTAGATACTTAAACTAGAAGCTGTCCACTTGCTGTTGTATTCTACTCGGGCTATGGGCGGACAAGTGTGGGGAGCTGCGTCCTGTTTTGTTCTCAGCTGTTATTTCACTACTCTCGTATCACTGGCTAGCTGAAGGTCATCAATACTGGATAGACAGTCTAGGCGAGTTAATCAATACTCGGACCAGATCAGCACACTTGCTCTTCTGTATTACTGTCCTATCACATGGGCCCCGAAAATAACACACAGGAAAGATATTATTTTGCCAACACATCAATTAATTATACTCACGAAAGTAAGAAGTTAAATTTAGCCATTTTTTAAAATCTACACTTGGTGTAATTATGTTTACATTAAAAGGATGATGAATTATAAGTGTTTTGACTGGGAGGTTACAAAAGAGGATGATTTGATAACATCAACATGGTCTTAATCATTAGTACTTAGACAGTTTTACAACGGACTTGTTCTCACTATATCACTGATTCCTAAATTTACAGTAGGAACAGCAAATCCAAGACGGTTCCAGGTCGTTTAAAGAATGTGTTATCGATAATTCCGACAACCGGCAGGTTCTAGGATGAAGATGAAATTACAAATATTTTACACAAACTATATCCTCCCATATGACGAAAGTAGTTGACTAAATTCATTTCAGGAAACATACTACTGCAGGGTTTCGTATGAGAATCAAAGTTGTGTGAAGATTTATTTATTCTTAAAGAAGAAGAGAGCTGGTCAGTACCTCAATGTCACTATTTTCTTCACCTACATTGCAGACATGAGATTTAATCAAGAAGATGGCATCAATCTTTCTGAACCATAAGTATTTCATTATTTCGGGGATTTATTTACATGTCTTCGTTTCAGTTCATTTTAACATTCCATTCTTTTTAATGAAAATCTATACTTATGTTATTATGTATAGTATATAGCAGACTGACCTAACCATCGGTGATTTCAAGTTTGATTTTGCATTTAACACGGAAAATTAGACACAAATGAAATGTAACCAAGAAATTGTTTTACACAGTAAATTTAAAACCGAAAATTGATTTTATTTTAAACAATTACCTAGCAGAAGTCAAATACGAACATGTAGGTAAAATAAACTTCTCGTTCATAAAATAAACACAACCACAAATCACTGTTAAAACTATCACTCAAACGTAACTAAATAACTGTTGAGCATATTCCTTAAAAAGCTGAGACTGACAGATAAACATGCCCCCAAAAGTTCGATTAGTCGTCATCTACTTGATAGTGGACACGAGGTCGAGATTTCAAAACAGTTCAAAATTATTAACAGACAAACAGATTCGAACTTATAACGTCTTACCTAACCAATTGCTATCAAAAGACGTAAACCATACTTATGTGTTCGAAAGGACACTCTTGCATTGCACTAGTGGCTTTCGTTTGTGGCAATTCTTGTTTACAATTTAAAGTTTTTTCTTTTCATACCTTTTTGAGTTTTACCTGAGCTACGCTTATTTTTATCAGTCCATTTCTCGTTGTTGTTAGTAAGTAACTTTGAGAACCAATCTTTTCTCTCATAACTTTCACATTATTTATTATATAAATATTCTACCATTTGAACGCTCTCTATAATTCTTTCATATTTACTAGTTTTATTTATTCTTATCGATGAGAACAATTCTGATATTATGACTTAAAGTGTGTACACTGATTTTTAATGATTAATACTACTATGTTTAGGTTGCATGCAGATGATGAGAAACCACGAAATAAAATGAACTTAGATTGTTCTGGTACGTTTTCTGTTTTTACTCTATCAAAAATTATATATTCGCCGGGACAAACAGTGCTTATCCCCTCTACTAAGAAAGAACACCTTTAAGAGACCCAAACTTATAGGAAGAGGTATTTTAATCTTTCCTAAATTTTAAATATCGATTTTATTTAAGTTCACTAAGTTAATAGAGTCGGCAAAAACAATAAAACTCCAAGACAAGAAATTATCAAGAAATGTATGAGAAACAAATTTTTCAATCAAAAGTATGCTTTGTAAAATTCAACTCACGAAATTCTCTGTAATAATTTTTGAACGTTGGTCGAATGCTAATCGAACACTTTCATCTCCCCAAATCGCATTCAGTGAAGGCACGATTTCCAGAAATTCTTCTTCCAACCAAAGTGGTTGACCAAGTCGAGAGCGCTCGCGACGCATCATTCGAGTTTCTTTAAAATGTGCCTCAATTTCTCTACTAGCCTGAGCAGCAGCGGAACCAAGTCCACCAGCCCATGGAATATTGAGACTTTCCCGTGCCTTACGAAGGTGAAATAAAAAAGACAGCAGAAAAGAATTTATTAAATATTGGGAATTTTAATGCCAATTCGATAGGAACAATGATTGTCAATAAGTTTTACCAAATACCTTCCTAGATATATTTACGCTAAATTACTTTTATCTTCCTTTTAGTATTACTTCACAATCTATAGTTTTTAACCATATTAGGAAACAATAAGACTGTTGTTGAATTTTATATGAATGTAGTTGTAACTATGTCATTTGAGGGGCCATTCATAAGCAAACAATTATATACATAATAGAAAAGTGGATCGATCAGCCAACAATAATACTTTCATAAAACCACTTGTCTTTATTACCAATACAAAACGATATGTACATCAATATATATATATATATATACCATAATGAACTGTAATATATTCAAGAACAACAAAAGTCTACTAGTAGTAAAAGTTAGAATGCTATACATCATCAAATAAGTATGACAACTTTCCAATATATCTCAACATGCTTGATCAGATAAAGCGAATTAAATTTTTCCAAGAAAAAAGCAATGAATTATAACACGAAATGTTTATCTATTATGGTATCGAAGCGCGAATCCGTTTCTGATTAGTGAGTATAGTGAGAAACTATAATCTGTATGATATGATGGATAGAAGAGCTAAGTCATATCTACGAAGTGCAAATTGTCTAGCTGCATCCAAGCTGTCCATTGTACTCCATGCTTTCCCTCAGATGTCGAGGTCTACATAATCCAGTCAACCACCAGAAGAAAGAGGAAGAGGGAGAGTAAGCAGTCTTGTCTGATTCCGGTTGTCAATTGGAATACACATATCAGCTGTCCCTCGTGCACCACTTTGCAGTGTAGTCCGTTGTATGAATTCCAGATGATGCTGACGATCTAAAGCAAAACAGTGTCGAAGAAGTTCCCGTAAAGTTCTCCTATCCGCATTGACAATTACTTTCTCATAGTCAAGGAAGTTGATATGATTGATCCGGTTCTCTGTAGTGTGATCCGGTCAGACCAATATAACTTTGTGTATGCATTTAGGGGAGAATATTGTGCCGCCTAAAACCATGTTGTTGAATGCACATAAATTTGCAAATCTCTCACCACTCTCGTTTTTTTCTCCCAGTTAGTCTATGTCGTTCTACTGTATCTTCATACTCAGTGCTGTTCATTCCGACTTTGGTGTTCAGGTCTCTCATCAGAATGGCCAGGTACTTTCCTGATCACTTAGCTGTGATTGATTGAGGCCTCTCATACAACTGGTCTTTATCGTCTTCGTTGCTATCATTGGTAGGTGCATAACACTGGATAACATTCATTGTGATCCGCTCCTACTTTGTTTTCAAGGATGCTTTGGTGATTCTAGATCCATGGAATTCCCGTCCTCTAAGTGGTTTATATGCTTCCGTGGACAGCACCAGAGCAACTCTCTGAGTGTGTAGAGTATTTCCTTCTTCGTGAACCAAGTACAATAGTATCTATCCTGAATCTAACCTTTCCCTTCGAGCTACGGTTCAATGGGTTTCGCTGATTCCGGGAACCGACAAGCTGTACCTCCTCATCTCCGTAGCTATTTGGTTGATCCATCCAGTTTCCCACATTGTCTGAAGATCTGACGTGTCTATATTGATTGTTGCTCTGGTTTTTAGAAGGGACATCGGTCTTATGACTTCCGAAGAATTCGGGCTTTCAACCGGAGGCGTCATAATTGTTTCTTTAACTCGGGGGGGGGGGCAGAATTTAAGTGGTTTTAAATGTGTTTTTTCAAGTCGGCAGTTTTTTAGCAAGGCTATTTTCTACGTGATGTGGCTGATGACCCCAAGCTCAACTCTACTCCTTTGCCCGGGCTTGGGACTGGCAGTAACCATAAGAAAACTGCAAGCGGAGAATAGAAGTGTGGAAGAAACGGAATCGAAACAATAAAATTGGTGACATTGGGAATTAAACATTAAGAATATAGTTGGAAAGGGATAAAATCGGATGATGGAGAGTACGAGATCTAATTCAAACCCAAGATTTAGAAGAAAATAAAGAATGAGTACACCTATGTCACAATAACAGACTCTGCGTCTTGTCATTAAATGCATAGAACAACGGATTGTGATTATTTTGAGGACCTAAACCGAAAAGCCTTCTTAGTCCCAAGTCCACTGAATTCATGGGCTAATGTCAAGTCTTGATGTTGCTGTACAGTTCTTTTCAATCTACTGCAGAACAACCAAACGTTGTGTTTTCAATGTCTTAAGTGTCTCAATCAATGAATTTTACAACCGAGTGAATCAATTAACCATTTCTATCGATTAAACGAGGACAAACCTCAGCATTACTTACTTGTTATTCCCGCTATATGTGGCCAATTCTTTGAAAGCATATATAATCAAACATCATAAATCTAATTATTTCGTTTCTCTTCATGACAAGATTTATTTCGTAACGATAAAAGAATACAAAATAAAACATTAAGCACATAAAATGGCTATTGTTGGGCATTTTGTGAGCACTACAAGTGGGATGAATTGATAGAATTCAGAGGCACATATAAAAAAATCTTATAAGGGAGATCAGACTGGTTGATTCTGTTCCGATCTCAACGCTTTGTGTAGCGTGAAAAACAGAGAAGTCAGAAGTAGCTGCTATCGAGTTACTCAATGCATGCAGATGGACGACCCGGATCTCAAACATGTAAAGAAAATTATGCGTACAGGTCATAATAGATTTCTTTAAATATAATAGTTCAGAATGTACATCTTGATAAAAATTAGATGGGGCTCCTGGTAGAAACTGATTTCAAACCGAATAACTCAAGCATTTTAACAGCTGATTTCAAATATCTCACTGATCATAAACGAAAAAGTTATGTGACTTCAAGGACTAACATCAACGATTAATAACGTAGCACATTTGTGCTATGTTTGATTGCGCTACCATGAGACTACTCATAGCTTGGTTATGCTTCGACCAACGAAGTATATGGCAATTATCAGTAAGTGATCATGATGAAGTTATACCTAAACATTGTATGTTGATACATATCAAAAACTTTAGCACGAGATTTATTTAGATTATCTGGAAAATCAAATGTAAACACTAAAATCCTTACACAGCAAAATCAAAACACGTAACGAATGATTCAAAAATATTAATAGTAAATTGACTTTAGTATCCTTCCATTCAAGGTTTCTTAGCTGTGCAATGAACCGGAGTTCATCACAAAAGTTGACCAAATAAAATGTTAACAAAAGCAATTTGTGCTGAGAAACGAAAGAAACATCTTTCTGGACGATAATTGTACAAATTATAAACATAAATGAGTCAAAACTTATTAGACAATCCAATTATTTAACCATTTACTTCTGACGTCAAATAACACTAAGTTTATTAAGATTGTTTCAAATATGCTTGTTGAGGAAAATTTATATCCTTAGAACTGACAGAGAAACTAAATATCGCTTAAGATTGCAAAAGTCACTACTTCGAAAGAAATGGCCCCACTTACGTGTTTATACATACACTAGTTAGTATGACTGTAAGCTTGACGATTAGAATAATTAACTGCCAACAAGTATCAAGTCCCAAGCCCACTTACAGCCACTGTAGCTTGTGCAGCAGGATATTACCACTAGCTCTTGCACAAATAGTCTACTTCGAAGTTGATCACATCACCATTTACCATTAAAAAAAGCTTATCAGTCAATGTAATAAAATGTATATCATTGAATTTCTAATGTATGTAAATATGTGGCTTTTTAAAGTAAACCACAATTTAAAAAATAACAGCTTTTAATCTCATTCCACATTTTATTAAAGTTTGATTACATTAGAAAAGATGCCAAATGTATCGATTTTTATGGTCATGTTCTCTTATTTAATTAAATATGCATACTGCTAACTTTATGCGAAAATGATAGAGGCCTCCAATGGCCAAAGAATCATTATATATATATATATATATATATATATATATATATATATATATATATATATATATATATATATATATATATATTTCATCGCAAGATTTGAATAAGTTTTCTAGACTTCCGATTGGATACTTTGTTGACTGAAGTTCGAGACCCGAAGGTTGACTGCGGATTTCATTTGAATTGGCTGAACCAAGTTGTTAAATAAACAGAAGAATATCCACTTAAATTAAGTGTGAACAGATACACCTTAGTCAGGTAAATTTCGTGAGAAAATTTTGTTTTCTGTTCACTTGGACACCAAAATAGTAATTTCTTACGTCATACTTCAAGTAAGCGAATGCCTAGTAGAATTATTAAGTACCAATGTGTTTGGTGTGAGATGTGGCGACTTGAACCGATGTATATATGTGCCTGGTCCTACAATGTAGCTGACTGTGTTTAATCCAGAAGAAATAGCTGGTCAACACAGGTACCTCCAGCTAACGAGTTCCAAATATAAAGGGAAAAAGCGTCCTGGATTCGACTGACAGCCATATTCCACTTATTAAATATCAATATCTATATTATGGCTTTATAATACGCAAATGGTGCGTAGCTGAGGAGTTCCCGTTGTTTCATCCGATATTACTCCGTAAGTGTATCGACCCCTTTTAGTGAGTATTAATGATCATTTATGAGTGAGCTAACTATAATGGTATAGATAAATTTCAAATGTCATTTAACTTTGAGGCTTTTACACCTTGTTTACAGCAATCATCATTGCTCGCCATGAGTCAATAGATATGTAAACTCATTAGGATCAGTCAGTAAGACTTTCCGCACATCAACTAGTCTGAATATTGCTATGGAGAACCACTGACTTTTGACTACAAAGAATCATTCCTCTTTCTTACCCATACTAACATCACCTACATAATACACCATTTCTGTTCAAGATTAAATCCCTTCCTCAACTCGAATGAATATTTGAAATATGAAGGTCACTGACTAGTTATGCAACTCTCTGGTTAGCTTTCAAACAAGTTGAGATCTCAAATGACAAAAGTTTCAGTCAGTATGGGTTGACCACTCGTAAAGACATTACTTGGCCACTAAGCCAACGTAATATTTGATAGTTTTCGCCTTACATGATTATTTTTTGAAAAGTTTCCTAATAAATAACCAACTTCTGGGAAGTCAGACGAAAAATTGGCTATTGTTAAATGCATATCAATAAAATCTGAATATGAAGGGAGTGGATAGTTTTGATAAACACTACTTAGTATACCCGACTCAAATCATAGTTCTGACTCGCCCACAATTGAGTAGTGATGTGTTAATTTGGTGAGTCTTTCTGCGACAAAGAATACTACACAAATTACAAATCAGACGACAGACGTATTTATCATTATTTATCCGACAGATTCTTATTAAATCGACGGAGGAATTCGGGACTTGAGAATGTACTTTTTTCTGTTGGATTCGTGATTCAGTAGCATACACACTCCCGTTTTAGTTGTATAGTCAGATATTCAAATTCCACACCGACAAGCCAGAGAGCATAATCAACTCTAACACCACAGATTTAGTTTAGCATAGATATATAAAACGTTATTACGTTACGTTTATGCTTAGAATTTAGTTACAGTCATTTTAGCAGTTTAGAACGACAGATATAAGAAACCAAAGATAGAAAACAAGTTTGCTAACCTGCAGTAGGAATAAAACACCTTTGTATATGTTATCATATATAATATCTTTTAGCTGTTCGATTTCTTGGTTTGTAAAGTGCTTTCCATTAATGATTTTCATTTGCTTGAGAAAAGTACTTTTTCCACTTTCACCAGTACCCAATAATAAGATCATTTGCCTTTGACGAAGACGAGTTTTCTCCTTTTTCAGCTCTTTTTCTATTTCCCTGTTGCGTTTTTGCTGCCACTTAATGATTTCACGGTCGTCAATTGACTCTTTTGGAAATGCACAGCAAGCAAGGAATGACAAGGTCACTGACATTGGCTGTACATAAAAACCACGGAAAAATTATTGAAAGGGCAATAACGCAGCTCAGTGACCAAACACAGATTTGTGCACTAGGTTTTGAGCTATACAAGTTAGTCAATACGCCTTAATAAACAAACTCGGGTACTAACTCAATAGTAACCCCTCTGAGATTTGTTGAACAGTTGTTGAACCTATGAGATTTTTCAATGCTTCAAGTTGTAATTCTTTTCAATTTTACGAGTGAAAATAATGTTAGATAAAGTCAGAAATCCAAAATCAAACACATGATTTGTGTTTAAAAACAGAAGCAGAAAATAAGCATAAAAATGGATATGTTACCAAAGCCACTAAATGATAAAATATCGTTAACTATAGCTGGTTAACACACATGAAACCACTGATAAGAAAATGTACACAGAATTCCCAAGTTAGTTTGTTACTGCGAGCAAAGACATACTTTATTGTTCCCGTAAAGAGCGGTATAAGGGCTATAATTAAAGCTCGAAATCTTAATAACGGAAGAACAGTTACTTGAGTGGTTTAGCGGGTTTCTTGTTGGTAGTCGATATAATTACGAACTATCTGTTACTTATTCCATTAATTATTATCGTTTAAAACACATAACCATTAACACAGGGGTCCATCAAAATATATAAGCGCCACACAGTAAAAACGAGATTGTGAAGAGATAGAGAAAAGAAAGTGAGCATAACAAGAAAACGAATCAATAATGAATATAAATTGTGGTATGAGAGTGAAATAATAATAACAATAATGGATGGAGCAGTTCAGTTAGGAAAAGGACAACCAGACAGGATTCTGTAAGTTATTCTAGCTTTTATGAAGTAAAAAAAGTTACAGCATGATCGCCATTGGCTTGTATCCTGAGCCATGTCTGATAACGTTCCAAGCCATTGAAGTGCACCATCTCTAGGACCCAAAAAATGGAATCGTGAGGGACGAACAGAATCCAGTCTTGAATACTTTTCTTTCATACCACGACCCTATATCATTCACTGACCATCTTCACGCATTTTCCAACTAGTCCCAGCGTCAGTAAATAATGCACAACGTGAAATTCGCTGGTACAACATTCAAAATGCATATCTAAGTCACCAAAATCAGTGTTTCAAGAGGGTGAAATAATTGAACTATCATCACTGTGTCCGAACACACGTTGTCGAGCCTCTACATTACCAAGACAGTGTTACCACTGGATGTCAGCAATCCTTCGGTGACAACGGTGATCAAACACAGAGAATCACTTAACATACTCAACTTGGAGGGGCTTGGTTTCACAAAAATTAAGAGAAACTGTTCTCACTAACACACTGTAAATTCGAACTTTTAGAGCCAAAATTATATCACGAAATCAACAAACATGGTTCAGATCAGCATAAGCCTCTCTGGAGTTCATTATACGTAAACTGACCTCATCACTTACACCATCATTTGCGCTTATACAGATACTCAGATTCACGAACATCTTGACTACTTCTATCTCTTCACTGCCAAAAGTGAATGCGGACAGTATCCTCTCGGTCTTGCCAATGTACTTTGAATTCCGAAGTTTCAAAGAATATATCACACCAACGGAAGTTGATTCCCAACTGACTAAGTGAAGACTACATGGCTTGAGTATTGTTGCACAGTAAGACAATATCATCCGCATACTCAAGGTCGAAAAGTCTTTCTCCAGGCAACAGATCAACACCACCTTTACCTACATCCATCAGAGCTATTTCCAGAACGTCATCGGTGGCAAAGTTGGATAGGAATGGTGAGATTGGGTAACCCTGCCTAACTACATTGCCTGAATGAACCAATAGAGAGGTGATTGTATGGCTTCATTCTACCTGAAGTGTTTGTAAAAGGGCTTTCAAGATGTTAATAAACTTTTCGGGCACACTCTTTTTCAATAGATAATCCCAGAGAACTGTCCTGTCCAACAAATCGAAGACGGCCCTAATTTCAAGAAACATTACGATTGTTGACAAGTAATAAGTATGACGGTGTTCTCACATTTGGTGGAGCCTACTTACTTACTTACTTGCGCCTGTTACTCCCAACGGAGCATAGGCCGACATTTGGTGGAGGGTGAAGATATAATCAATACATCCTCGACCAGAACAAAAATCAGCCTGCTCCTCTCGAGTCAATCTTTCTCAGGTCTCGAACAATCCACAAACCATAACAGGAGCCAATAGTTTGGACGCAATCGGAAGTAGAATTATCCCCTGACAGTTGTTCCATAGGTGATGTGAACCCTTTTTAAAAACAAGGATAACCGTCGACTCATTCCACTATGTTGGAAAACTCTCTAATTCCAAGATATTTATAAACAACTCGGTTATTTCCTTAACCAGCACACCACTACCTTTAAAACGAGCCGGAGGCAAGTCATTTTGGGATAGTGAGTCGTGGCGCTTTAAAAACTGAAGTTCCTAGAGCACTTTTACCTCATTAAACGGATCATTCGATACTGGCCATGCTTCGAGGAGTCGTAAGACACTAGTAGAAACCCGATATTTATAAGCGGGACATTTAGCGGAGCTGATATTATGTAGTTGCATCTTATTTATTTATTTATTTATTTATTTTAACACATAGACATTGGTACAAGGAGGCACCAAATACATATGCGCCACACAAATCTCATTCGATATGTGTGAGGGCTGTGATACTGCCCGGGTGCCCAAACCGAAGCAGGTGTAGTTGCATCTAATGTTCATGTACAACTTTTGGTGGGTTGATAGCTAGCCTTAAACCTAGCCCGGTTCGATATTTATTTGCAACAGAAACTGTAGCCAGTTTGCTGACATTGATCTGCTAACACTTGAATTTGTCGGTCACTGAAACGTAAGATAAGGTTAACGCGAACAAGCGCATAATCCGATTCCAATTAAGTACCCCAATAAAGAGGCAGTCTAGTGCACAACGACACTAGCGGTAGCTGATCACAATGTGATCATTTTGGGTCCAGGCTTGAGATGCAGAGGGAGGAAGCCAGATGGCACATCGACGATGACTGTACCGATGGTAAACGATTAGATGGTGGTTGAAGGTAGTCGACAGGAAACCCTAGACCCGGGTTTTGTGCTACTTGGCACTCGTCAGCAAGGTGTACCTGTAATCTTGAGGGAACTGGTGCTCCATGACAGGTTCCATCCCGTTTCACCCAGCTTCACAATTAGAGACGTTACCACAGCTATCCGGGCAGCGACCGACCTCCTGTAGTACCTAGGTGTAATCACAATTGGTTGATCACTAGGTGGTGATCAATGTCATGTGTGTCAAGTCCCTATTAGCGCAGATCGAATGCAATTGACCAAGTAAACGATGGCAAGAAACAGGTTGTAGTTTGTGTTAAGTTGTAGTAGACGATCATCGTTATCTGACCTGCGACAAACAAGTCCCCACCAGCTACCCAAGCCACTTTTCTCAGCGCCTAGACGCTCAGCCTGTGCATTCAAGTCTCCGACTCAATAATTTATTCTTGGAAATCAGTAATCAGTGGAGCACCGGAAAAAACAGTAAAAGGTTCACTATTATCCATCCTTTATATCAATGAATTTTCAAGTCTCATCAAGTTTGATGATATAAAAGTATGGATAGAGGTACAGTAGCATGTGAATATACGAACACTCCAGGTTGATCTCAACATTATGGAAAACCGCCTTGAAAATAATCACTGTCAATCAATACACCTAGGTATGTTCATGGACATGTCATAGACTGATGCCGAATTTCACAGGTTGAAATCATGAGGTTTTTCCATGATGGTCTAGCTTCAATCGGCTCACAATTTCAACCCGTGAAATTTCTAAAAAATCTCCACCAAACCCATTCTGATAATATTCACTGCTCACTAGTGACTGACTTCAGGAGATACTCTGATGCGTGCTTCTTATATTGATATAAGTAGTATATAACGTGAGTTAAAAGAACGTAATGTCTGGCAGCAGAAGATGGGGAAGATCAAGAAAGGAAGAGCGAGAACACAATGGAATTTGTAAGAAATCGCATGAACAATGAAATATGAAACAACGGATGGATGTTTCCAATAGTAACAGTCCGGTTTGATATGATGGAATGATATTTTGCAAATGAATGATTTACTATATGGTTTTTCTATGTTACCAAGTAACTCTGTAATTTTGTGCTAAATAAAATTTGGTTGTCCTCACCTGTGTTCTCCTTCAATACAATACTCATGGACTTCTAGTGAGAAGCCGTTATCAGTAAAGTTCAACCAGGTCTGTTTTGAGATATCAGCTCACTGAAGACAATGGTGTGCGGTGGCGCAACTTCGTGGATTGGTTGAAGTTAGACATTAACACCGTTGGATGCCGGCTCAGTGGTCTAGTGGTTAAGTGCTCGCGCGCGAAACCAGTAGGTCCTGGGTTCGAATATCGCGAGCTGCGGGATCGTGGATGCGCACTGCTGCGAGTCCCATACTAGGACGAAACGGCCATCCAGTGCTTCCAGGTTTTTCATGGTGGTCTAGCTTTAATTGACTCATGATTTCAACCTGTGAAATTTCTAAAAAATCTCCACAAAATCCATTCTGATGCCAAATTGCCTGAACGTCTCCATTTGTCTCAACTAATAATAACTGAAAGTCATGGCAAATTATAACTTCGAGGTAAATGCTCAATCCCGTTTGGTGGCAACTAAAGGTTAACAGGCTTTCTGAAAATTGGTTAAAAGGACAGTAACAACTGTCTAAACACCCTTAGTCAGATCCAAACAACTTAAACGTTTACAGCTCCTACTTCCTAGCTAAACAGGTGAACTGGATCTTACGGGAGAAGTACGGAAGATTGCTACCTGAGAAATCTGGGAGATGACCAGTCTGTCTTACGATAAACGGCTTTGGAAGATAGATCGTTCTACATCATCGTGCTGTGAACTGGGTATGACTTGAAAGACAGTAAACGACTTTGGATTCGCCACATCTTGTCTCTTTCTTTCAACTAAGTCACAGTAAATCAGATTATACATCAGTTTAGTACAGGAGTCAAGAACACACGATGCATGCGGTATATACGTTTTCCGCATTGAACAATAAACTTTCATAACTTGTTACCAAAAGACCTAGTTCCTTCAATTCTACGTAGCTTATTAAATAAAAAACTAGGAAAATAGGGCGGCAAAATACAGAAGAACTTGTAGTGGATTATCTTCAAGACAATTTCTTAAACTTCGCATATTGATCGCCCTGATAACCACTATTATATAAATCCCAACGGTTTATAAATTTCAGAAGGCAACGTGAAGCACCGACTACAGTTTATTATCGAACTATTTTTCTATTTAAACACATAAACATTGGTACAAAGAGGCACCAAATAGATATGCGCCACATAATTCATTCGATTTATGTGAGGGCTGGGATACTACCCGGGTGCCCAAATCGAAGTAGGTTTATTATTAATATTATCATCATTACTGAACAGCACAGGTCAGTAAGACACAAGCACACCAAGCGAATTCGAGTAGAGCTGCTACTGTGAGCGAGCTAGCGAATACAGAGGCGAATTCAGAGTCAAGTCAATTAATAAGACCCAAGGATATATATATATATATATCGTAGAGCCATTTAAGTAACTAAGCAAAAAAGATGGATTTGTGTGCAGGTTGTCATATGTGATCAAGCATACATGTTCATACAGATGTGATAACAACAATAACTATACAAAGATACACAAATTGTTACTGTTCGAATAACACTGTATGTTAAACAAGTCAATTGAAGGGCTTGACATAATTAACCTCAAATAAACTCAATTGTAGGGGAGGTGCTATAAAATAATGTTCCTCCTTCCTATAGATAGAGTTGCCAATGTTTTCTTCTTATTTAAGTCCGTGGCTGATAGAGCCTATCAAACAGATGTGCAGGCCCTTACCGAAATGTAGAATGCAGATATGAAGGTGATCAACTCTGCGGCCTCGGCTGAAAAGTGGAAAATTAACTTAGATGCATCAATAGGAGAGATATGAACTCATTCCCAGGGTCTTGACAAAATTAACTGCAAATAAACTTAATTGTAGGAGAGGTGCTATGAACTAAAATATACTTAAGGTCTTCTGTTTTCATATCCCAAATCTGAAGTTAAACGATAGTGAGTCATCACTTCAAATGGATAAAATAAATACAACAGCACAAGAGTTAACCGAAGGATATCAGGTTAGAGAGCATAGCTTACGAGATGAACAGATGTTGCAAGATTAAAGAGAACTGATTCTATTTGTCAACTGTGACTAACATTAAACGATGACACGATTCAGAGTCGGAAACTTCCCTCAGAGACACCATGATGCTTTCATTTGAAACCTAGTTGAACGTAAAGTTTTAAACACTGAAATTGAATACCTGCTTCCTTGATCATACCAGTAATGCAATGGTGGGTGTTTTTTAGAAATTCAAGGCGCCTATGAAAATCTTAGTGATAACACTACCAAACGACCTTTGGCGTGGTCTTCTTTATGATGAAAGTTTAAGGAATTTTAAACTTTATTGACGTACTTAGTTTTAGAATAACTACGATTTTAGTTACTACGAAACTTTAAATTTTCATAGTGACGGAAAGCTCCAGGTGTGGTTTCAGAGGTGCAAAATTTGGGAAGTGAGACAAGCTTGAAATAGAAAAGAATATCAATTACCAAACCGTGCTAAATAAATGTACATATCAAGGAGAAACATCAGTAAGTTTTAAAACAAAGTGAATAAATTAATACGCGACTTTTCCCAATCGAGATCAGAGAATTTTCAGCCATAAGGCCGAAACATTACAAGAAAACATATGTCAATAAAACCAGTATTATGATGGAGTGCACCGAAAGGTGGACAAATTAAATCGAGACAACCATAAATGTGTTTACCATACCAAAGTAACACAGCTGTCAAATAATGCGCTTCTCAATCCTCGTTTTTGTCAGTATCAGATCGCTAAACTTATATGACATTCTTTTGAACAGGTCGACGAACGGAGCTATCGAAATATGATGAGATATTTATTTATAACCTTTAGGATTTTTTTGGAAAGGTCGGTAGACAGATAACAAGTAATTGATTTCATGCTTATGAACTTGAGATTTAGATTTGTGTAGTAAGGACAGAAGGCCTACGGCCTATGTTATTCCTTTTCTAGTATGCTTCTGTGAGTTTTCAGTCTTCTCTTGAAATAGTCAACTGAGAGTGCAGGTTCCGAATATTGATGACTAGGTGTGAAAACCTGTATACCGCGGGTATTCTGTTCGTTCTTGGCTCGTCTACCCGCCTGCTTTGTCCTCTGATATGTCCCGATCTGGTGGGAAGAAAAAGAGAGAATAAGTTAGGTCTAAGATCATTTCTCAGCATTCTGTACATCAAAATTAGATCTCCCCTTAATCTGAGATAGGACAGAGTTAAATGGTCCAGCTTTTCAAGCTGCTCTTTGTATGGCCGCTCTCTGAACTTTTTCTAGGATATCCGAGTCACTTTTTAAACCGAGGCTCGCAGCCTGAACGCAGTTCTCAAGCTTAGTTCTCACTAAGGATAAGCATACTGTGGTGAACATGGTAGTATCTAACTTAGTAAATGTCTGTTTTAAAGCCCAGGGGGTTCAAAACCCCTTAGTTGCGACCTCCCAGCAATGGGCCGTCGTCTTAAGATCATGACTCACTGTCACCCTTAGATCTATATGAGACCGGGTCACGGGTACAGGCACTTTCCCTATGTTGTACCTATTAACCTTTGAATCCCCAAAGTGTATGAGACACACTTTGCCGCGTTGATAGGCATCAGCCACTCTTTAGACCACTTAATCACATTTAAGTCTAAATAAAGTAAGAACAAATATTGGTGCAGAATAGTACGAATTCATATTATTTCGAGGTTTCTCGTCAGCTGCTTACAAGCCAAAAAAATGTGATGGGATTTTTACATTGAGATAGAGTGAAAACAAATGACATAGATGAGTGTAAATAATTGGGTTACAATAATAGTTATATATATATGCTAGAACAGGTCAGAGGTCAAAAGGAATTAATTCGGGTCGGGTGGTGTAATAATGGAATTGAATAATCATAAGATAGGTTACGTAATAATAAATAAATAGAATTTGAAAAGTTAAGATAATTTAGGAGGATCAGGTGGTGGAAATGCGTAAATAATAATGTGGTTTAAGAATTATGTAATAGGGGAGGAATATAAATATTTTAAAATCAATAAAAATAAATTATTAATAATAATAATAAAGGGTTACCAGGGTAGTGATAAGTTAATTAAAGTCTCTTTTTGAATGCGTAAGTCAGGTTTAAGTTTTTTGATCATAATAGCTTCAGCAAAACGGAAGGTGGTCGTACTTCTTTGTCTATTGGTAATTTTGAAAGCATGAGGAATGTCGATGGTGTGCCCGGTGTCAAGTAGATGTCGAGCTATTGCACTGTTGAAAGCCCTGGTCCCACGCAGCCTCAAGTTTTTTGGAACATGCTTAGAAATGCGGACATACACTCTTCCCTCAGTTCTTCCAATGTATGTGCTTTGGCACGTACATTTAAATTGGTAGATGCAGTTGGAGCTACTAAGAAAAGAGGGCTTGTCGATTTTGGTTTGTTGAAGTGAGCAGTTCGTTTGCCATACTGTCATAAGTTTTGCTGCTGGGTAGGTGACTTTCGACGCAGAGTTTATTCTGTGATTGATTATTCCAGCGATTTCATCACCTTTGAAACGTAAGTGTAAAAGCAGGTTTTTCTTTCTACTCCATCGTATTTTCTATGAGGATTGCTTTTTGCATATTTCTGGATAAATTTCAATGGGTATTCATTATCGCGTAGAACATTAGTAATTAATACCCATTCAAATTTATCCAGAAATATGCAAAAAGCAATCCTCATACAAAATACGATGGAGTAGAAGGAAAAACCTGCTTTAGGGTGCTAAGAGCCTTAAGCACATCGTTTTGGTCGAAGTCCACGGTAAGCAGCTGGTTTGTTGACTCTTTATTTTGGTCTGGTTCTTTGTCTAGAGGAGGTTCCGGAGTGAAAACTGCCCCAAAAATGTCAGCAATAGCCTCTGCTTTTTCCTGATCTTCCTCTATCATTTCAGATCTACTCCCTTCTTTAATTAGGTTGGGAATCCAATGATGCATCCTTGTTCTGTAGTTTATGTACGCGAATATCCTCTTGGGCTGCTCGAGTGCAGATTGTGCCAACTGCATTTCATATTTTCTTTGAGCTTCCCGAATTTTCGCTTTACACTTGTTTCTTACCGATCTGTAGCGTTCTATCGTGCCTGCTGTGCCAAGGCGGATGGCAACATCCCAACATTTCTTTTATCCTAGTAAACGTCAAATATCCCGGCCTATCCAGGGATGGCCGTGCTTCTTCTTCCTTAGAACTTTCCAAGGTATGTATGGTTGAGTTACCCGATTGTATAACTGCCTGGACAGAGTCCATGTCTCTTGTACTGAAACCTTTGAGTCAATTTCTCAGTCCTCAGCCGATGCTGCGGAGTTAATTGCCTGCATATCTGCCTTCCATATGTCAGGACGGGCCGGCGCAACTGTTTGACAAGCAACCTCAGCCATGAATTTGAATAAGATGACTGCATGGTCACTTCTCCCAAGTGGTGGGAGAAAAGCCATTTGACCAACGTCATCACTGTGTGTAAAGACTAAATCTAGAAGAAAAGAAGAGTTTCTTAAGTCTTATCTTGTGGGATCTCTAATGTGTTGGAATAATGCTAGTCCAGTCAAGGTTTCTAACAGGTTGCAGTCGAACGACGATATCGATGACTCTACTTCTAAGTCAACCCAGTTTATATACGGTGCATTAAAGTCGCCTACTATAAGGCTTTTACCCTTGTTACACCAGGACTTAAGTTTACTTAGGAGAAAATCATCTGCTACACATTCTGGACTGCGATATACTACAACTAATTCAATATCTTGCCGTCGGCATTTCAACTCACATCTCACCAGTTCACATTTCCCTGAAACATGTGCTACTGTCTCAGCTACCGTCTCCTCTAATTACTTGTTAAGCAGCAGTGTTTTACCTACAGCTTTTTTCTTCTCACTCCTTTTTCTCCGTACTGAAGTCCATTTATCAACACTCAGGACAGCCACACTGCGACTACTTGGGACGGTGACAGTTTTATCCGATGTCGATATCAAGCGGCACTTCACTCTTCGGTAATGTTAACGGAGATTTCACTTTCCTGTCAATCTCAGTTGAGTGTTTTGCGGGTCCGGTAGCAGCACTTACTACATTGACACATTCTTCACTGTCATTGCTCGTGTTACCAGCGCTACCACCATCGTTGTTCTTGCAGACTGATAGCCTTCTGAATTAGTAACTTTTTATTTGTACAGCAAAACATACAAAGCCAATGCGAGTTAGGCCTCGAGCATCTTTTGTATGCTGCAGGACTTAGACTTGTACACATCTTATGGTGCCACTTTTTACGTTCATCGCACTGCATTCCTTCCTCAAAGGGGAACAGGCAGTTTGGTTGTCCACATTTATAAGTCTTAATAACCATTGTATTTTGATTAAAAAGGTTTGAAATACAATAGGATCACAATGTGAACACGATTGTCAGTCAACGGGTAAAAAAAGATACGACAGGACAAAGTTTAGCAAAAATTTCAAACCTCAACCAAAGTACTTTTAGTTGAAGTAGACCAAGAATGCTTTTTGGTGCAACAGGTACAGAAAGCAAGGATAATCACGACAAGTACAAAAATCACTGCTTTTCTTAAACGAGCAAGATTCCTTATAAATATTTCTTTCCTGAAGGCACGAAAAATTAAGTTTGTCTGGTGCAAATGTACCACTGACCGCTTTTTTGCAACCTGGTTAGTTCACCATGAGTCCTTGTGTATACTAAAAGTGGCAACTACCTCCATAAACCAAGTCGTTTTGTAAATAAACGACATTCCAGATTTGTGAGTTCTAACAAACACTGTTAGCTGGTGGTGAGCTATTTCTCTAACTTATATCACATTTAAATATATTTTTATTCTCGTACGATACCCACTTGTGGTGGTAAATAAATCCCCATAATCAATAGACCAATTAGTCTTCGACATTTGATGCTGATCCCATTAGATTTAATGGACACACCCAGCTGATGACGCATGCACACCAGATCACGAGTTGGTACTCTGTACTACTTATCTCCTACAACTGTTAGCAGGCTTAGATTAAACGCTTCTCAATATATCGATAGCCTTTCAAATATGATTTCAAATCGTTTCATTTCTGACTTCTGATTTTACTGGATTGGCATACTTCCGTTTTATGGGTGTTATTTGTAAATGCGTTATCAAACTCCGAATACCTTTGGCATCTTCGTAGTATCTTACCGAAACGGATAAAAATTGTGAGTCACATCAATATAACAGGATAAGAATGTCTTTCAATTGGCAGGTCACATGCAACATGGATAGTTTACAGACACATCAGACCAGATCAGCGTAATAGGCGCCTAAACAACGATTTGATTGATTAATTATATACATAACTAACAATATTTCAAGGTATACAGCGTAGAGCAAATACTAAAACTCCACCAAAACATACTCCATCTTTAAGTAAGTCTAACATTACAAAACATAACAGGGTGACGTTTGTGAATAGCAAAGAAGATAATCTGATGATAACCTCAGTTCATCCATGCTTCTGGGGCAGACAGTTTTCTTTGTTTCAGTCTCATTATGGCCTGTTGGGGAATAACTAATCAGTGACATTGGCTCTCCCTCACTATATAGACTTACCCTCTGACCTATAATTTTAATTTTAATTCAGCTTCATGTGATGTACGCACTAACTGATTGTTCATTCATACTGGATTTCGCGCTTATTATGAATTTTATATATAAGAAGTCTAGTTGTAGTCATCTAAATCTACTTGCCTCAATTTGTGCCTGTACTTTCCATCCTT